GCGCTTCTATCTAAAACTTTTTTTTACTAAGTAAATCACTCTTGGGCTTGTAACAAAAGTTGTAAAGCTCATCAAGAAGTTTCTAATAGTAGTAAGAATGTTAAAATCAGCTTGGTAGTTCTTGAGAAATCTTTAAAAAACTTCTTTCTTATATATAAAATTTCTTTAAAAAAATTAATTTTTTTAAAAAAATTTTATATGTGAGAAAGAAGTTTTTTAAAGATTTCTCAAGAACTACCAGGCTGATTTTAACGTTCTTACTACTATTAGATGCTTCTTGATGAGCTTTACAGCTTTTGTTACAAGCCCAAGAGTGATTTACTTAGTAAAAAAAAGTTTTAGATAGACATGCTGCACATTCAGGCTTATAGTAAAATTTACATATAAAAAAAAATATTTGTTTAGTTGACTTGTGATTTGACTATTAATTAAATTAGCTGCAAAGGCCTTTTCTACTTAATCAAGCCAGGTTATAGGATCCTGGTCCCTTCAGTGAAGTCAGAATAAGAAACAAGGTTTAATTTCTGATAAGGGTATTAATTTAAGTGGCTAGCAAGACTTGCATTTGTTGAATCAGCAATCCAATTTAGGTGACCAAGTTGTTGATAGGATTGTTTAGATTCAGCAATTAGGCAGAGCTTGGCTGCTGTGCAGGGTTGGTGGGATTTGGTTGAGCTATTATTTTTTTCCAGATTAAAGTGAGTTTCCTATTTTCTCTTTGAATGGTTGAATTTAGTTTTTTATATTTTACTAAAAGGGTTTATATTTATTTTATAAATAGTTTTATGATAAACGATTGGGAAAGATAAAAATTTGATTCTTCTGAAGAAAGGGGATATTGATTAATTTTATTATAAATTGTTGGGGAAAATGAATATTCGATTCCACACAATTGGCACCAATTGTAACTGTTGTAGGGAGAGTATAAGTAAATTATATAGATGAAAAGCCAATTTAACTCCAACGGTATATGTAGAGATAAAGATAACTGTGTATTTGAAGTATGTTTTTTATATTTGTTTTGGACAAAAGAAACAATGGGACACTTTTACGAATAGTGATATCGACAAGGTATACTGAGAGAATGATGCAATAACAGGTGATGCCATTAACAATAGTATTCAATAAGATAATTTCAAGAACAATGATGATAATTTAAGAATTTTTAAGGGAGGGCGGTGACCTTAAAGGTAATAATAAGACCAAAAGCGGACAATGATCAAGTATAACTTTAAGTTCATGTGATGATTTATCAAAGTCAAATATCTGGTCATAGGTAGCATTCTCTAATAATAAATGATTCAAAATCTGAGTCTTAATATTCCAAGTCAAAGTTAAAAGTTAATTCAGTCTGTTGAATTAAGTCTCGATTAGAGTTATTAAAGTTTCAAATCAGATTCAAAACAATATGCAAGAGAATGTTCAGATAAGTTTATACTTTATTCAAGCAAAAAAAACAGAACAATATTTAACAATGGTGTGGTAGTTTTTATTTATTTATCAAGTAGAACTAATAAATTCTAATTTTTTATCACATTTGAATTACAGGTCTTTAAATACATTCTAACTTTTAGAAACATATACACCACAATTTCGGTGTTTACACTGAAATGATAATGCAGTTGTAGAAATTTGGATGTATACATCACAAAAATAACGCAAACACTGAAAGAACTTAAGACGCAGTCTTTTGTATGATTACGTATATGTAATTTTTTCAGTATTTATGTGATTCATCTGATTTTCATGTAATCATGTTACTAAGCCACCCTTTTAGTATAAGTGATGAATTATTCAAAAGAAAATTAATAAATTTACCAAAATTGGTTATTATTTTCAAAATAGGTAGGGAATTAATAATATTTTTACTGGAATCATTAAATATGTTTATTAAATCTTTGTCATAATATGTTGATCTATTGTAGGGACTGGACTCGTGATAACTCGTGACTCACAAGTTAAACTCAGAAGAGTATTCGAATATATTCGAATCATGTGATCGAATTATTTTTCGAGTTTTATTCGAATTACTCAAGTCAAAATATTATTTATTATAAATTATAAATATATTTTAAAAATATACTAGTTATATTTATATATTAGGAATGTCATCCTTTATTTATAAAAGCAAATATCTCAAATTACAAGTTGTAATGCAAATATATAGCAAGTTAATTATTCATTATTTGGAAATATTGTATCGAATAAATCCATATTTCTCTTTAAAAATAACATCTCACTTAATAATTCCGGATCAAGATTTGTGCGATTTGGTGTAATATTGTTTCCAACATCCGAAAATAACCATTCAAATGAGACTGAAGTTGCTGATACGCACAAATACTTCTGTGCAATTTTTGATAATATAGGAAACCGTTCTTTTTTAAAGCTCCACCATTAAAAAGGATCCATTCGTCTCCCTCCTCTTCTAAAGCTAAGTAATCATCAATTTCACTAATTTTATCATTGTCATCAGCATATAAATTTAATAAAATTAATTTTCATTTTTTTGGAATTCTACCAGCTTCGAAATCATCATGATCATCATGCTGAATATTTGACAAAGACGTTGGACGTTTAGAAGTTGGGTAAATTTCACATTCCAATTCATACAAACTTTTTAAGTGTTCTTTAGTTTGTATAACCACATTTGTGTTGGCAAAATGTAGCTTTTTAAAATGTGGATCAAGTAAACATGCCAACATGCTGACATCTGTAACAGAATTCCAATAATGATACATACTATCATACAATACTTTTTTAACCTTCGCAAGCATTCCAATTATAATCATTGGAACTGAGATGTTAATTGTTTTGTGTATAATTCCTAATGAAACGTCAACTTCTTTAATCTCAACAATGTCTTTTGTATCATCGATAACTTCTTCTACAGAATCGAGAATTGTTAATTCACCCATATCTGTTGAAGCTGATTCAATATAAGATTGTTGTAATAATATTTTTAAAGTTTTCACTAATGTTAAAATAGCTAGATACATTAAAGAAATTGTTACATAAGTATTTCCACTTAGTAACATTATTATTTCTTCAAAACTACACAATATATCATTCAATTCATCTAAAAATATCCATTCATCATCGCTAAGCATAATACGTGCTAATCATTCACCATCCTTTCGTACAGGCGCACTTTCATCTGATTGAAGCCGTGATGGAAAGTATACTATCGCTCTTTATAAATAAAGAAGTCTTTCCCATGCGTAAAATGATGAATTCCATCATGTGGAAATATCTCCAATGGTTGATAAACATTTTTTAAACCCAAGGTCTCTTTGTGCAATAAGGAGATATTCGGTTTGCTTAGGTGAATTATTAAAAAATCAATCAATCGTTTTACATGCAAAACCAAATGCCTAATCATGTTTAACCCTTTTCCAGCAGACAATTGAAGCACATGAGCTGTGCAAGGAATCCTATCAAGTTCTAATAGTCGGGCAGCCTTTTTTATATTTGACCCATTGTCAGTAGTTATCGCCGTCATTTTGTTAATTAAACCCCATTCAACCAATACATTATCCAACAGTTCAGCAATAACTTCACCTGTATGGAGTATAGAACATGTTGTAAAACAAGTAGTGCTTCTTTGAATTCCCAAGAATCAGAAATCCAAGCACACGTGATTCCAATATATCCCTGGTTACGACGACTTGTCCAAAAATCTATCGTTATAGACACAGCAACACTCTCCTTTTCTATTAAGCTTGTTAATTGTTCTTTACTCCAAGAAAATGATTTGCTAACAGAAGTTTTTAT